AACCCTCAACCCTAAATCCCAAACCATAAACCCCAAAACCCCATGATTTTGACAACCCTCAACCCTAAATCCCAAACCATAAAAACCCAAAACCCCATGATTTTGACAACCCTCAGGTGCTGAAGCATGGAGACCTGTCCCTTCCAGCAGCCCAGATGTCAGAAGGATCTCAACAAGAAGCTGGCTTGCTATTATCCCAGGTTGGGTTTTAGGGTTTAGGGCTTAGGGTTTAGGGTTGAGTTTAAGTAGCTACTGTATGGCGTTATAGTAAGTCATAGTAGTATTTCTTTACCAGTGGAATTATAAATCCCAAACCCTAAAACCCGAACGCTAAACACAAAGTCCTATACCCTAAGCCTTAAACCCCAAACTCTACCCTAAACCCTAAACCCTCAACCCCAAACCCCAGACCCTAAACCCAACCAAGGATGGCGGTAAGTCGGACATGTTGACCTCCGAGATTCACGCACAAAGCGGCCTGGAGAGCCCAGCCAGTGGCGAGTCTTGGTCGCAGAAGGAGAGAGTAGACGATTTTAGGTTTTTGGGGTTTAGGTTTTATGTTTTGGGGTTTAGGTTTTATGTTTTTGGGTTTAGGTTAGGTTTTATGTTTTTGGGTTTAGGTTTTATGTTTTTGGGTTTAGGTTTTATGTTTTTGGGTTTAGGTTTTAGGGTGTTTAGGATGGGGGGTTTAGGGCTTAGGGCTTGGGGCTTTGAGGTCGTTGAGCTTCGAGGCTTAATCTAGGGCCTAGGGTTCATGGAAACCAAAAGGGTACAACGAGAACCCGATTCTAGATTCCTTGTGACACTGTGTACACTGCAGAGTACCCAGATCTCAAATGATCTTGATTATCCTTCAGGCTTGTAGATTAGCCGGTAGTGTGTTTGTTGTGATGTTGGTGAGCCTGTGTAGGCTGTATAGTTGCAAACCTCAGTACGCATGTCCGCGGAATGCACTTCCCTTTCGCGCATTTTCCTTTCCGTCTGAACGGAGCGAAAACCTCAAACCCTAATTCCTAAACCCGAAACCCTAAAGCCAAGGTAGATGGGCAAAGGATGAAAGCGAACATCGAAGCCCTGCTTGAGCTCTTGGGTATTACTCTGAGATATGTTTCACTTTGCTTGGGTATATGGGTTTATTGTGGCTCTAAGAAATCATGGTGATAGTCTTGAGCCTTTTTAAGCCACATCCCAGGTCTGCGATGTCCAGACTTGAAACCAAGTTGGACATAATGCTTGCCGACGATCACATCAGACCGAGAGATTTGTTACATGTAGGATCCGGGCATGATGAGGTTCGAGCGAGGCACCGGAAGCTTGGCTGATGATAGCCCCTTAGGGCAGTTAGGGGGCTCAGGGTCTTCGGGTTATGGGTTTGGAGTTCAGGGTCTAGGGTTCAGGGGCTAAGGATTCGGGCTCAGGGACCAGAAACGGAGAATCAAACGCACAAGTACATGGCAAGGGAAACGGAAACTGGGAGTTACTTCGGAAAACAATGAGCTTAAGGCTAAGTTACCAGAATATCGAAACCCCATTAACCACCATATACACAAAGTACGGTAGTTGAATATATGTTCCCCAAAGTCAACCAAGTATATAGACCTCAACAGTGTTGCAGTGCCATTCTCTCTGCCCTTTCTTCCTTCCCGACCACCAAACAGGAAACGGGAGAAGCTGGTTTGGATGTGTAGTAGATCATACGGCTTCCGCATCATAATATACGGGCCCCTAAGCCCTCAACCCTTAGCATAGGGAGGGCGGGACCCTTATGATAATATGAGCTCCTAGACCGGAAGCAGAGAAAATCTCCTTATGAAAATCTGAATCCCTAAACCCTAAGCCCTAAAACAAGGACCGGCAAGAAGATGCTCCACCCGGAAGCCTTCCGCAGCATGTACCTCAATCATAGTCGCCCACTTTCGACCGATCCACGGTTGCAGCGGGAATCCTCTGGGTTTTGGGGTTTAGGGTTTGGGGTGTTAGGGTTTTAGGGCCTGTTTAGGATTTGTGGCTTCGGGTTTAGGGTTTGTGGTTTAGGTTTTAGGGTTTGTTTAGGGTTCAGGGTTCAGTCAAAAATCCATGCAATGGGTCCCAGCATGCGACGAGGCCGGTGCAGATTCTGGCGAGAGGAGCAGGAAGGTCTACTTCGGAGAGAGCGCTTCTCCCATGTCACCTGATCAATGTTGGGGATCCTTTATGACTTTGCTTTTTCAGTTTCCTAATGTTCCAAAAGAGAGCCCCCAAAGAATCCTTTTTTTCTCTCTTTCTTAACAAAGACCTAGGTTAATTTCTGAGCAGCTCGGTCCTGGGAGTCCTGTGTCGTCTCCAGATGCTGCTCATTCACCTGCAGCCGGCAGGTCTGCAGACGCTTTTAAAGCCTTTGGCGTTAACATCTCCCCTGTACAGACTGTAAAGATGTAATTCCGTGCAGTCTGCAATATGGTAGGTTTTCTGGGCCGGGGCTTAAGACCCTTGTGTCTTGAGCTCGCAGTTTCACTCTTTCGGCCAGTCTGAATGGCCAAGAAGGTTTTGAACCGCATCATGACGGCCCCTGACTTCATTGAGGCATTGGAAAGATTGTGAGTCGATGTTGAGGCTTCCTTTTCCACATTTCTTGGGCTTTCCTACGCGGCCTACAAGAGGGTTTGGCCAGGGGTTGACATGATCGCATTGTCAGATTCTCAGGTGGCAGTGGGCCAGGAGATTCCTGAATTGGATCTCTCAAACCGTCCACTTGCAGATGGGAAAAGAGGCTTATGCTGCCTTGTCTTGAAAGTCAAGAGGAATGACAGTTGGAATGACCTTTAGGAGGGCCCTTGGTCAAAAGAATGGCCGACACCTGTGATAGTCTAGGCCAAAGACCCTGAACACTGAGCCCTGAACAGTTGCAATGCCCTACTTCGGTGCCCATAGGGGTGCCATGAGTCCAATTGCAACCTCAGGAGCCCTTTTCCGGCGCTTTTCTACGGGTTAAGGATTTGAGGTTTAAGCTTCAGGATTTACCACTTCTAATATGTTATCTAGCCATACGCCCCCACAGTCCCTAAAAAGCTACACGACAATCTATCGCAAAACCCATCTACGCCAGCTGCACCGTCGGCTGCAGCAATCTAGTGCCCGAAGCCTCCCCCTCAACCGTTGACAATCAAAACAAAGGCAGCTCTTTCTAGGTCATTCCCGAAAATCAAGGCTTGTATGACAAAGATCCCTGCAGGAGGTTGCTCGCGGTGTCCATTTCGGGAATCTTAAGTTTAGGCAAAGTCATGCGAACATCAAGCTTAAGGTGCAGTAAGAATGCTTGTCGCTGGTTTGTGAGCAAAGCGCGGATGGAGTCCACGACCCTCAACGCTGCACCTGCAGGCAAAGGCATTGCATGTCACAAGACCCAGGGCACATATCCGTCTGACGATGATATGTATTATAGGTATACGCACTCTTTCTCTGCATTTGGTTCTTCTTGTTTTGCCTCCCGAGGTTCTCGATTCTGCGCGATCTGCAAGAGGCAGAATCAAGAACGTGTGCATGCGTCGTCGAAAGTGCAGGGCTTGGTGCAGGGCGTAGGGGAACAGGTGCAGGAGACAGTTGCAAAATCATAGTCCCCTTCTCGCGGAGACCGAGCCGCGAAGTCTAGACTCTAGACTTTCCAAGTATATCCATAATGACACAATGAAGTTGCTCCAACCGCAGTGCCAGGACTTCTGGCAAAGATGCCTCACCAGTAGTTGTCAGAGTTGCATTCATTAAACGTTGGATATTCTTGACAGGACTCACGCAAAGGCTAGAAACCACCAGTTCTGACCATCGTACCTGAAGAAAATTGCATTATGCTGCGATGTATGTTCCATGTAGCTGCGATCCGAAAGTAGAGTAGGATTCCTCTAGGGCTCACTCCCACCCGCTTTGTACCCAGAAGGATAAGCCCCAAACCCTTGAAGCAGACGGACAGTCCGAGAACCCTATGTGTGCGTGCGTGCGTGCGTGCG